ATTAATCTTTATACATTTCATTAGATTTATACCAACGAAAATAGAAATATTTAATCTCACAGATGTTTGGTTCCCTTTCTACTACCAAATTTAAGGTTAACCTAGAATACAAAATGATATAAAATAATTAACAATTAATACATAATGAAAATAATTTAAAAACCAAGAACTAATAATATATAAAAATAGACTAATTATAATTTAATTATGATATGTAATAAAACTTGAGTTTAATGAAAAGTTTTTTTCCTGTATTTAGTAAAAAAGTTTAATAAAGATTTAATAATTAAGTAAAAGTTACATAATACTTAATCATATTCAAAATAAATAAAGAAGTCTATAAGTTTGGAAAGACGAAAAATCTATTATCATTTTGTTTTCCTTTATGTTTCATCAAACCTAAGGAAAAAAAGATTAACACACTAAATTTTTTTTTCCATATTAGGTAAATAAGATCAAATTTAAAATAATTATCAAAAAAAAGATTCAAACAGTAAACAATGAATGATAAATAAACAAACAATATTTTACAAAAAAAAAATTAGAATTAGAATAATAACACACAACAAATAAGAAACAAAAGTCGAGACGAACCATAATACACAACAATTCTAGTCAAAGCACATACTGATAATCTATGACATACAAAATTTGGATAGCAAAACTTTTAAAATTCGAAAGACAAAAAACAATAAATAACTAAAATAATTATATAATTGTTTAACTACTTATATTTTATAATAGATTATAATATTTATATATCAAAATAACATACAACATATATAATTAAAATTTCAACAAAAAATCCGGGTGTAGTCCGAACCGATCCTAGTTTAAGATATGCATAAGTTCCACAACAATAAACGAAGTTTAATGGAAAGATTCGATGTTTGGTTCACACTAGACCCACAGCGACACAAGAAACAACATGATTTTCTAGGTGAAACAAACCTAAAGGTGATAAATGAAATTAACTTAAATATGGAGTCATATCACTTTTTGTTTGTTGAGTATTTGATAGAAAGAAGTATGTACCAATCCTTTGTATATTTAATTCTAAACTACATTTCAATCCATGTAACCGCGCGGATGTTTGTATTCATTTACTTTTAATAGTAATATTTTGTTTTCATTTTTTTTAAACAAGTTATTTTCACTTCTAAATTGATATATATATATATATATATATATATATATGAGATATGTATATCAATTATTAAAAGATCATAATTTTATCATATATTAGTTTTTCATCAAATAGTTTATTTCAAACTTTCACATGTATTTGTATATTCTTCAATATATATTGTTTTGGATTATTATTTCATTATTGAAGTCGTAAATATATATAAGATTAGTAAATATTCTTTTATTCTCATCTTTAACGATATTGTAACACTTCTTAAATTTAGCAAGTTTAATAAAAATAAAATTTTTAGCTTCATATTATGTAGTAAATAATTAAACCTTTAATTTTGTTCTTTTTTAAAATAAACTATACAACTTAAAAAATGTTTTCATTGATCAAGGATAGTATAGATTTATCATTGTTAGAAAATGATGATTTTTGTTATTTAAAAAAAATAAAATATAATTTTAAAAGTTAAAATTTCTTCTTATGATCACTGTCATCGTTATTATTATTGCAATATATAAATATGTTAAATGTTTCTCGACTCGACAAGAAACTTTACTCATTTAAACTCTCAACATGTTAAACAGAAACCAAACACATTCCCATAGGTCATAGCCATATTCTCCATTAAATGAGTTTTTTTTTATCTTCGCCTGACTGCTTTAATTATTATTTATTACACTTGTCTCGTTCGTAATTTCCTTCTGCAACCCCTTTTTTAAACTTATTTATATTTTAATTAAAACACAGATAGTATAACAAAGTACAGAGAAGAACAATTCATAAATTTTGCTCAAGCGCACAACTTTCTAATTTTTGGTGGAATCAAAAACAGAACAGTACAGGTTTACATTGGATGATAGCATAGGATGAGATCTGTACCTCTAAAATTTTTGAGGGACTAAATTTTCAAGATCTTGATGATTTCAATATAGTGCTTCTTGCAAAATAATTGTGGAAATTAATTAATTACCGGTAGTCCTTATTGGCACGTGTCTTAATAGAAAAATACTACAACTATACCTCTCTCTTGGAAGATCACCGAACAAACTCACCATCATATGAATGGCGTAGTATCATGGCAGCAAAACTTTAACTCATCTCGGACTTACAAAAACAATTGGAATCGGTCAAACTCAAACTTTTTTTTTCTTTGAATTGCTAACAGGCTACAATAGAAAAGAAAGGCTGAACTCAAACGATATGGCTAAGTTGAACTAGAAAGCACATGGCCAGTTTCAAGAAGTTTGAAAAGACTTTACTACACATGTCGACAACTATATGATAAAACAGCTTTTAATCCACAAAATGAATACCTAATACTTTTTTGGACATTTAATTAACTATAAAAAGCATCGCTTCGGACACATACGGTTAAAAATTAATATATGCGTTGATTAAAGGCATCTTGTAACTTAATGTACGTGTTGTTTAAAAACACTGCTTGATCCAATATATAAAGCAATCAAGTGTACGAGGAAAAGATACAGAATCATTTGGATTCAATCTTCATCTTCTCCAAAAAATATTTCTGAAGAGAAACATAGTATAGTTTGCTATGGTCTCCGTATGGTGTGTTGTACGGAGATCGATAGTTGTATCCTCAAGATAGACGTCCGTAACTATTCATACCATTATAGGGGCGGAATTATGTCTTAGAAGATTGCTAAAGCAAGCCTCTATCAATCTACAATTGATTATCGATTAAGTTTTGAAAGGAAGAAAAGTAATCATCTATTTGATTATTTATAAGAGTTTATAAATCTGGTAGCATTTATAAAAAAATATATTTTATTACGATTTGTAACACATATTGAGTACGAGTGATTGATTTGCATCTGTACTTTGGAATAACAATCTAAGACAGAAATTTCTTTGTTACTTTCAAAAAATACAAGATGGATCAATCTACTGCAATTTTGAAAAGTCACATAGAGAAATCTTTTATTTTCTGAGGAGTGGATTTCAAAAGATGGCAACAAAAAATGTTGTTTAATCTCACGACACTAAATCTGACTCAGTGCTTGACTTTTGAAAGACCAGAGTTACCTGTAGAAGGTGATATTCCTGATGAAATAGTAAAAGCTCAAGAGACTTGGACACAAAATGAGTTTTTGTCTAAGAATTATATTTTTAACGCTTTGGATGATTCTCTCTACGGTGTTTATCATATATTCCAAACTCTAAAAGAGTTGTGGGAATCATTAGAGAAGAAGTACAAGTATGAAGTTGCAAACGCTAAGAAATTCATCGTGGGAAAGTTCTTACACTTTAAGATGAGTGACACTGTTTCTATGGTAAAACAAGTGGAGAAAATTCAAGTTATTGCTCATGAATTAAGGGATGAAAGTATGGGGTTGAATGAAGCGTTTCTGGTTGCTTCAATTATTGAGAAATTTCCTTCAACTTGGAAAGATTTCAAGATATAACTGAAGCACATACATGAAGACATGAGTCTTGAACAATTAATTCTCAAGCTTCGTGTAGAAGAAGAAAACTGTAAGAATGAGAATTTCTGATTATTCTTCTATGGAAGCAAAAACCAATGTGGTTGAGGGAAACAACTCCAAATTCAAGAGCTTTAAGAGCAACAAGAAGGTGAAGAAGCCATTCATCTTTTCAAAGGGCACTATCTCCAAGAAGAAGTCACAAGGTGCTTGTTGGGTATGTGAAAAGTTTGGACATAGAGCCAAAGACTGCCATCACAGAAAAGACGGGCCAACTTTTGGAGACGTCAATAACGCAAATCTTGCGGAGAATCATTTTGTTGTTGTTGTTTCAAAGATAAACATAATGACAAACTCCAATGATTGGTGGATAGATACTGGTGCTACAAAGCACGTGTGTTATGATGTGAGTATGTTCGTTATGTATGAACAAGGTTTTAGTGGAGAAAAGCTCTACATGGGAAACGCAAGCACTGCGACCATTGAAGGGAAAGGCAAAGTGATCCTGAAACTCACATCTGGAAAGGAACTTACACTTACAAACGTGCTTCATATCTCTGAGATTAGGAAAAATCTAATTTCAGGTTCTCTACTTAGTAAGAAAGAATTTAAAATTGTTTTTGAATTTGATAAGGTTGTACTCACTAAAGGTGGAATTTATAAATTACTATGATTTGCAAACGTATCAAATATTTGCAAACATATTGAGTACGAGTGATTGATTTGCATCTATACGTTGGAATAACAATCTCCAATGTATATCAAGCGGTGATGTTAAACAACATGTACATTAAGTTAAGAGATGTCTTTAATCAACACATATATTAATTCTTAATCGTTTGTATCTGAAGCGGTGTGTTTTTACAAAATAACTATGAAAAATAAATAATAATGAATATGATATAAATTATTTATTAAGTACATGTGGGTAAAATATTTCTAAAATTTAATTCAGTGTGTTATGTGTTGAGATTCTAATATCCAGTGCGTCATAAGCATATATATATATACATATAAAAAATTGTACACATATACATATATAATTGTATATAAAAATTACAAATTACTATTTTTTTTACATTTATTTTATAATTTTTTATCTGTGATTATTTAGCTATTAAAATGTTTAACAAAAGTGAATTTTTGTTTTTGTGATAAGAATTTTTTTGTTTTACATTAATTTTTGATTTTTTATCATAAGATATTTTATAAGTTTTATCGTAAGATATTTTCAAATCATAATTAAGAAGACAATTAAAAAAACGAAAAAAATGATTAAGAAGACAAAAAGCTGAGAATTCACGTTGACATGGGTCAACAAGACCCAAGATCAAAGGGGGTACTGTCGTCTTTTATCGACAGCACCAACCGATAAAACGAACGGCAGGACAATATGTCATACGTACATACATTTTATACACAAACACATATTCACAGCAAAAACTTCAAAGCCCCCATTAATCTCTAAAGATAGCATAAGCTTTCAATTTCTAAAGAGAGACTTGAAAACCCTGATTCGGATCCAATACCTGAATATGCCGATTGGGTGGGTTAAATCTTTGCATTGTAAATCAAGAGCTTTCGACGACGTCTATCATCACTCCAACAACGGCAAACTCTCGTTGCCAAGTTACAGCTGCAGAAAATCGGTTAAAGACGTCATCGATACCCGACCAGGATCCGGTAATAAAAACCTTAAACCCGACTCGAATTTAAGACGTTTACGGTCCTCTTGCCGACCCGAATCAGCATCCAATTCTTCTTATAACCCGACCCGACGAAGCGTATCCGCAAGAGCTTCCACAGAGTCCGCTGCATTGCCCGTTCTGACCGATCTTCCCGATGGCCATCCGTCAAGAAACGTCGTGGAGATTATATTCCAATCTAGCTGGAGCTCCGAAGAATTTCCGGGTCGGGTTGAGATGATTTTTAAAGTTGAAAACGGGTCGAGAGCTGTGACTCGGTTTGAGGAGTACAGAGAGGCTGTGAAACTGCGATCGCGCTCCAACTTGGATTCAGATGAAGGCGCGTGCGATGAGGACGCGAGGTGTTCGGCGGATGGGAATGAGATGATGAGGTTTTATCCGTTAGGTCCGATTCCGGGAGGGATTAACGGCGGCGCGTGGGTTTTTCCAGGAGGTAAAGGAGCGGCGGTTTGTACGTTTTCAGGTAGCGGTGAAGCGCATGATAGCACAGGTGGCGGAGGAGGGAGGAGAGCGATGCTGATTTGTAGAGTAATAGCGGGTCGGGTTGCGAAGAAAGGCGAGTTCGGGTCGGATTCAGTTGCGGGTCGAGATGGTGAGTTGATTGTTTTCGATGCACGCGCTGTGTTGCCTTGTTTTCTAATCTTTTTCAGATTGTAAAAAACAATAATTATCGAACTTTGTAAAATAAGTATATATTTTATATATCGTCCATGTTTCTGATTAATATCAAAATTTGGCGCAGTTCTTTTGATTTATTGTTATGGTCCATGCTACATTCTATGATGGGGTTTTTGCCAAAACTAACCCACAACTTGGTTTTAACCCCAATACTAGACCCCAACTTGAATCAAATGCAAATCTAACCTAAAAGGGCTATGAAATTACAATATAGTCCTCTGTGACCAAACAAAAAAACAGAAGACATTTTTACGAATATAACCCTAGTAAGTTGTCTGAGTTGGGCTGAGTTACTTTTCAGTCNAAATGTTTTTTTGAAAAAATTAATTCGACCTCTATGTGTTTATTTCTGTGTATAGTAAACATTTTTCAAGTTTAATTTAATGTTTCGAAGTGTTTAACTAGAGAATAAAGTTTAGGGGTTATGTTTAGGGATTAGACGACTGAAATTTCAGTCGTCTGCTTTAAATTATTTCCCAGACGACTGAAATTTCAGTCGTCTGTTTTAAATTATTTCCCAGACGACTAAGCTTTAAATTATTTCCCAGACGACTGAAATTTCAGTCGTCTGCTTTAAATTATTTCCCAGACGACTGAAATTTCAGTCGTCTAATTGTACCGAACCGTTAATTTTAACATTTTACGTTTTAACCTAACCGGATTTTTACCGGACATATAAAAGCTATTTTTTTCACTTTTTCACAATTTTCCGAAACCCTAACGCCGTTTCTCTCCAAGGACGATTGTAAAGGCGATTTCGACGAATCTCTCCGTTTTCGACGAACATCTCCGTTTTCGCCGGTAATCTCTCCGATTTCGACGAATCTTGTTTTTCTTTCATGGCTTAGAGTATTTTCGTAGTTTAAACTGACCATCCCCTTCCTTTTTTTCAGATCTGAAATCTCGTAGCCCTTTCCTTC